AACTGAGACCCGCAGCGAAAACCCCATGGCGATGTTCGAGATAACAGTACGAGTGTTCTGAAGGAAATGAGAAATATGTTCCGCCAAAATATATTCTCTTGAGCATATTTTGAGATGCTGCCATTAGCGCACAAGTAACAGTGAACACTGCGAAATCTGTCTTGGTGAGGGCAGAGAATGTGTACATCTGTAGGAATTGCTGCCAGAGGTCTATCCTCCTCTTCCTAAAAAAGATTGAACTGAGCCCGCGAACGGCTCTCACCTGTAATCCCAGCACTCTGGAGCCGAGGCGGCAAGAATTGCCGCGGAGTCAGAGTGAAAACCAGCCTGAGCCAAACGAGCGAGACCCGGTCTCTACTATAGAAGTAGAAAGAATTAAGTTGGCCAGACGAATATATATAGAAAAATTGCTGGGCAGGTGGCACATTGCCTGTAGTTTTCCCAGCGACTCGGAGCTGAGGCAGTAGGGATTGCTTCGGAGCCCCAGCAGTTTGAGGTTGCTGTGAGCTTGAGGCTGACGCACGCGCACTCACGCTAGCCTGGGGCCAACAAAGCGAGACGCTGCCTTCTCAAAAAAAAACAAAAAAAAAGATTAACGGAGAGTTCTGACACCTTTTTAGCTGCTGAAAAGAGAACATGTTACCTTGTAGTGAGCTGCTACCGGCAAGGTTTCAGTGTACATTGACAAGGACCACCTTTGCTGGCTTGACTCAGGAACTGCGTTACTCGGCTCCTTCCCAAAACCTATTTTTCTGCTTTCAGCTCGTGATTTTTTTTTAGAAACCGCCCTGCTACTCATTGAAGTCGCGAATGCTCATTTTAGGAGGGGGTTCCCAGGCATACACTTAAAAGTAAATTTTGCCATAGGTTTTTGTCTGTATCAATCTGCCTTTAGCTGAGTTGGATTTTCAGCTGGAAACTCCAAGAGCAAAAGGGAAGTTTTCCCTTACCCCCAACAGTTCCCACAAGCTGAGTAGAGGAGGTTGGCCGTCATAGACAGAAAAGGGCTGAGGAAAACAAAAACAGAGAACAAAAAGGTGCAATTTCAAAGTGTAGGTTCATGGAAAGGTTAAGCAGGACTTCCTGGCCGATGCGCTAAAGACTGCCTTGATTTAGATTTGGCTATTAGCCCTGTGCTTGCCGGATTGCTTAGGAAGTCAAAGAAACAACCTTAACTTCAGCTGGGGACCCCCACTTTGGTTTGGTCTTTGGGCCTAGTGCAGAGATTGCCAAGCAGTGAGGGTTACGGATAGTGGCACTTGGTCCGGAGCTGCACCAGAAGAACAAGACAAGAAGTTTGAGGACGAAAGAAAGAGAAGTGAGATAACTGCTGGCAAATGAGGAGTACGGCAGACGTGCGCGTGCTTAAAGTGACTTACAGTCCTATCTGTGAGCAGACATATAGAGCTTTCAAAGAGGAGATGTCAGCTTGCAGCTCGCTGTTGTAACTATAGTGAAGTGTTTTGCGTGTTTTGTTTTGTTTTTGAGTCAGAGTCTCACTGTCTTCCCTGGGCTAGAAGCGCTGTGGTATCAGCCTAGCTCACGAGCAACCTGCAAACTCGCGCAAGCAATCGCTACGCCGCAGCCTCCCAAGTAGCCGGGATACAGGCATGCACCGACAGCGCCACTTAAGTGTGTATATATGATGGTAGTGGCAATTAAGTTTCTTGCTATGTTTAGTGAGATGGTCTCGCTTCTGCTCAGCTGGGTCAAAACTCCGACCTGAGCGACCTGCCCACCTCGGCCTCCCAGAGTGCTAGTAGTTGATGGTTCTGATCCATCCCATCTCCCGGAAAGACAACTGGGAAGACAATCTCGGGACCTCTGCCCAATTTGACAATTTAGTTGAGCCATCTCCTGTGGTACAGAGAACAGAGGACACTCTCCTGCTGCTCGGATTACAGGCCTGGGCAGGGATGCAGGTTTTCATTCCCAAAAGAGGCGGGGGAGTTTTAAAGAGAAAACTTGTAAAACATTTTATCCTTTTTCAGGCTGTTCCCTCTGTTACAATGGCCTCCCACAAGTTTTATTTAACACTCCCTTGACCTAACTCTAGTCAGACTCCTCTGAACTCTCTTCTCAACTAGGCCCTGACTTTTGGGCTTCCTTATTTGTCTCTACTTAGTCCAATTTTAGCAAGAATCCTGCTGGGTCAGTTTAGCAAAAATCCCCCACTCTTGATTATCTGATCAAATTCATTATCTCCTACCCTCTATATCTTATCACCCTGGCATGTTAGATTCTTTTAGCCAAAATTCTCCTGGCCCCTGATGTTTCCTCTTAGTGAATGTCTATCTACTGATGCCCACTCTGCTCCTTTGCTACAAATCACCACTTGTCCTTATTGTATTTGGAGTTGAGCCCAATCTCTCTTCAATCTTCCCCTTCTAAAAACTCCATTGTAGTAGCTCACCTTCAGTACAGTTTGCTTTACCATTTTAAATAAGTGTCATTAATAATTTTCTTTTCTTTAGTGATAATTTAAGAAGCAAGGAAATTTATTCTCTCATATAACAGGAAGTCCAGATGTACTGCAGACTTTCATTTAATTTGTTCAGAGGCTCAAGTCTGTCATCAAAGGCCTAGATTCTCTGCATCCCACCACTCTGCCTTCCTAAGTGTTAGCTGATCCTCAGGGCAGTTGCAAGATGGCTGACGCAGTGTCATGGGTGTCACATTTAGAAACATCCAGAGGATGAAAAGAGAGTGTTACTTTGTGAGGCATTTTCTAGAGTGAGGAAAATCTTCCCAGAAGCTCCTCAGCAGCTGTTCCTTCATGTCTCATTGGCCAGGGTCACTCATTCATTCCTAGTCAGCCACTGACCAGGGGAATGGGATTACCTCAGACAGATTCCGCCCACCCTGGCTGCCTGTCAGGCAAATGGCTGTATGAAGCAACTGCACATTTGAACTAATCGATGTTCCATTGAGAAGTAAGAGGAGAAAGGACCAACATCTCCACTACAGATCCCAAAATGTTACTCTATGAAAAAGACAAAATGGATAATACCTCCAACTCTTTGGTCCAGCACTGGCAGAATGAATTATACTAGGGAATCAAAATTAGAAAGAGGCAGAGCAGAGGGGCAAAAACAAAGAAACTGTTCCTTGGCAATAAGCAGCTAATAGTAAGAACATTGGCAGAATATTTTAGAAAAAAGTTAATAAAGATTTATTTAAAATATTAAACTTGGCCGGGCGAGGTGGCTCACACCTGTAATCCTAGCACTCTGGGAGGCCGAGGCGGGCGGATTGCTCGAGGTCAGGAGTTCGAAACCAACCTGAGCAAGAGCGAGGCCCCCTCCCTACTATAAACAGAAAGAAATTAATTGGCCAACTAATATATATAGGAAAAACTAGCCGTGCATGGTGGCGCATGCCTGTAGTCCCAGCTACTTGGGAGGCTGAGGCAGGAGGATCGCTTGAGCCCAGGAGTTTGAGGTTGCTGTGAGCGAGGCTGATGCCACGGCACTCACTCTAGCCTGGGCAACAAAGTGAGACTCTGTCTCAAAAAATAAATAAATAAATAAAATAAAATATTAAACTTAAAAATTGCCACAAAGAATGAGATTGCTCTGCAATCAGTGATACAATGAAGTCACAATGTGGCAAGGAGTAACAAGGAGTAAGAACATTGCAAGATACACAGAATATGAACAAAACAAATGATGAAAGAATAGAAATCCACACCAGGCATATGATATGGACTAAGGGCTTTCATTAATTCCATAGAGAGAAAGAATTAGAAAAAATTAGTGTCAAAACTTTCTCTGTATGTTATTGAGAACTCTTTGTATGCAGTTATACTTAATTTAATTATAGTAATTTGTATATAATTTCTATTACTTTATTGGTTTGGGGCTTGAGTTTAATAACTCCTCTTGATATAGTTAACTTATGTTGAAATATTAAAGGCACAAAAATCAAATTATGCGTAACTATGCATTTATGAATTGCCTTAATTGAAATGAAATTGTAAAAATATTGGAACTACCATGGAAAACACAAGATATACAGAAACCTGCTCTCTCTTAAATAGTAAGTAAGAGCAAGCTATGAAATGTTCTCTAAGAATCTTTAAGAAATTGTCTTAGTCTTCCTAGGCTACTGTAATAAAATGTCATAGACTGGGTAGCTTAAGCAACAGCAATTTATTTCTCACAGCTCTGGAGGCTAGGAAGTCCAAATCAAGGTGCCAGCAGATTTGGGGGCTGGTGAAGTCCAGCTTCCTGGCTCGTAGATGGCTACCTTTTTGCTGTGTGCTCACATGTCCTTTCCTCCATACATGTTCATGGAAAGAGAGGTATCTCTCTTCTTCTTCTTATAAGGGTACTAATCCCATCATGAGAATCCTTCATGACCTAATCTAGACCTAATTACCTCCCAAAGACCTCCCTTTCAAATAACCATCCCTCTGGGAACTAGGGCTTGAACATATGAACTGGGGGGTTATGGGGACACAAAATGGCTGAAGCCCATTAACAGAAATAAACAAATCTTGACTGGGATATCCTTTTATTTCTCTGACAATGGTGACTGTTCTCTTTTTGAGGATCTAGGCAGGGGTATAAGTGAGTAAGGTGTGGGAGGTTGGGAGAGAACCTAGATAGGAGTGACTTCTGGCTTCTGCCTGGTCCCCCTTCCAATGGAAGATTAAGGGTATCCAAAGATCCTTGAGCTGCCATTGTCCCCATGACCCCAGGAAATGATGACTGACAGAGATAGAGGGATCAGATGGAAGAGGAATCTGTCTAGCCTGACAGACATCCTTAAGGGGTTATTACAGATGCTTCCAGAGATCATCAGTTTCTCAAGGATATTCTTTACCTGGCTTGTCCTTTCTCAGATTGCCTATAGAAAGCCACCATGAGAGTCTGGTGAGGGGCTAGAAGCAAGGAAAAATGTGGATGTTTTCATGACTCTTCCGTAGAAATGATTTCTAGTTCATCTTGGATGACCCACACTAGCAAATACTTGATTTTAATACTCTGGCACTACAGTTGGTTTTTTATGATGTTTATTGAATGTTCTTGAAGGAAACTAAAAAACTTCACTTCAAAATATACTTTGTGGACATATTTTGAGATGGCTGCTCAGAAGGCCTGCAAGGTTGTCTTTTGTGGTGGAAATCTGCATCTGTTGAGAAAACCTGCAATGAGTCATCCAGGTTTTCTCTGAGGCCCTGCTTTGTCCAGATCTAGGAAGTTTAGCTGACAGTCTGACCTTTAAAGGTCTGAAAGAAAGATTCACTGTCTACTTTTTCTATGGGCTTTTACAAGGAGGTTTCATCTAGCCAGACCTTTTCTCTCCTTCCCATAATGTATCTTGCCAAGAGCCAAGCCCCCATTCTTTCTGTAACCTCAAGGCGATATAAAAGTGGCAACCATCTGGCCATTTCCTTGAGGTTTTATTTTGTTTGACTTCCATGCACACGTGTGCATATAATAAAATCTGTATGCCTTTTTTGCAGGCATACAGGTTAATCTATGTATTATCAGGTTTTTTTTTTAATACACTCAAATTATTGAACATTCGAGAGAAAAATTTAAACATCCCTACACTTCCCACTTTCCCTGTCTCTCATCCTATGAATATTATTATAATGTAAACCACAGTTCTCCCCAAAGGTAAGTGCTTGCTCGGTTCTGGTGAGAATGCAAGAAGCTGAAATTGCTTGCTTAAAAAAAAAAAAAAAGTTTAGGAATTATGTACCGATTTGAGTTGGGACTTCCATGTTACACACAAAAATATCCCAGCGCTGCTCCTTGGTCTCAACAGGATGCATGAGCCTGGGCTTGGAAAATTTCTTGGAGCAGATCAATTTGGAGTTTGATGTAAAGGAAGAGCCAATGGTGACAGACACCCTTAGTCATGTAAGGCCTCTCTTTTTTTCCTTCACTTTCTTCTTTCAGCTCCCCTGCCATTCGCTGGGCAGAAAAAAAAAAAAAGGTGAACTTAAGGCAGCTTCTTTCCACACACAATGAGACTCTTACCCCTTTTTGTCGTGCGCATACTTTTGATTGTGTTACTAGGTGTGGATCTCAAAGTCCATCCAATTCCCTGGTCCCTGATCTCACCATGGCCTGACAACCACGGAGCTGAACAGCTAAGAGTTTTCTAGGGTAGTTTGGAGCTTGTGAGCAAAGGAAGTTACTGTGTCCTCTGTGCTGAGGGGCGAGGGAGAGGTCGGGACCTGCACTGCCTGCTCCAGCGCAGCGCAGGCAGGACGCGATGCGGAGAGTTGAGAGGGGCCACGCGGCCGCCAGGGGGCGCGAGACCCTCAAGCCCTCGCGCGATGGCGTCGCCCGGACCAGGAAAGGAAGGTGGTCCGGCTGCGAGGGAGGGCGGCTGGGGCCAGGGAACCCGCAGGGGCAGCGGGGCGCCGCCTCGCCCCGAAGCTGCCGGGCTCCGCGCACCGCCTACCTGCCCCTCCGGTCCCGCCAGCCCGGGGGCCCCACCCGGATCTTCGCTCTCAGGGTGACCTCGGCGCCCCGGGGCGCCCGCGCCGAGGCCCCACTCCCGCTCCCCGCTGGAGGCCTGAGGGGAGCCCCGGTCTTCGGAGAGCGGCGGCCGCAGCGCCGAGACCCGGGTCAGCCCGCAGGCCGGCGCCGCGCTCCCGACGGCCGCCGCGGGACAATGGCCGGAGGGGCTGCGGGCGCGCGCCGAGGAGCAGGGTGCCGGGCGCCGCAAGCCCCGCCCGCGGCCGCGCCCTGACAACGCGGGCGGGCCGGGCCGCGCCGCCGCTCCCCGCCCCTCGCCGGCCGCGCCGGGCGGGGCGGGGCCAGAGCGCCGCCGCCGCCGCTGCAGCAGCTGCTTTGCGGAGCGGGGGCCGGGCTGGGGGCCGGGGCCCGGGCGCCCTCCCTGCCGCCTTCTCCCGCCATGAGCCGAGGAAGTCCGGGGGGCTGGGCCCCCCTCGACCCCACCTCTGGGCCGCCGGCGCCCCCGAACCCCTTCGTGCACGAGTTACACCTCTCCCGCCTCCAGAGGGTTAAGGTGAGGTGTGGGTCGTGGGCAGCGGGAGCACTCGCGGGGATAGGAAAACGGGGCCGTCTGGAGCCCTGGCAAAGATGGGCACGCGGGCCGCGGAAGGAGGCGGCGGAGAGGCTGGCGGAGCCGGAGTCCGGGATGCGCACGTGGGGGCGGCCGGGGGCGGGCAGGGAGTCCCGGGGAGGACGCGCGCTTGGGCGGTAGGCGAGCGCGAAGGTGTGGAAGAGCTGAGTAGGTGGGATGGAGGACTGCAGGAGACCCAGGGGTAGGAGAGATGGAGGGCCCTGAGGAATGCGGATGACATCCTGCGGAGGCTGAGCGCTAGGATGGAGCTGAAGGCTACAGGAAGGCGGGTGGGGGCAGGGGCGTGCAGAGCGCTTCTTGGGGGCACTGACTTAGAGGGAAGACATTTCTGGGCCTGGAGCCTGCGTCCCTGTGCCCTTCCAACACCCCTTCTTCCCACTCCCCCTACCCCGCACTGCAGCACCTCCCGGTGGGGGCAGGGAGGCTGAGAAGGGGGTTGGCTGCAGGAAGTGGAGGGCCTGGGGAACTAGGTGGTAGTGAGGGGAGGGAGTGTCCAAGGTTTCTGCTGTCATCACCTCCCCTGGGGCGGGCTCCAGGGGCTAGGTTTGTTTACCTGCTCCCTCCCCAAGGCAGCCTTTAGAGTCACCCTCACTCCTGGCAACCCTTACCGCGGAGTAGCGCCGAGCTTTTATCTTCCCCATCCCCCAGTACTATGGGGTTGCTGTTGGGCAGTACTAGAAACGGACCCGGAGCCTGAAAAGTGGACCTTTCAGTGTTTCCAACCTCTGCCTCCCAGGCCCAAAGCAGAAAGAACTGTACGCTGGTTTCTGTTGGACATAGGGAGCTATTTATGGAATAAGATGTGGGGGAGGAGGACCTATCTCTAGCCTACTCTATATCAAGCTCAGTGCCGAGCACTTTCACATGGGTTATCTCATTAAATCCTCCGAGTGCTAGGTGCATTTTATGACATTCGGTTTTATAGTTTTATAGGTGTGGTAGGGACCAACTAAGACATAGGAAAATGAGGCTCTTGATGCTTTTAGTCTTTTATTCTCTTGCCCTCCTTGGTATCTTCACCCCACCTTGGGTCCCAGTCTCCTCTGCTATTCTCACACCACCTATCACCTGCAAGGGATGATGGTTCTTTGCTCCTGGGCCATCATTGTGAGATGCTGTGGAGGGCATCATCTCCCAGCCCTGAAATAGCATTCTCTCCCACCCTCTGCAGTTCTGCCTCCTCGGGGCACTGCTGGCCCCCATCCGAGTGCTTTTGGCCTTTATCGTCCTCTTTCTCCTCTGGCCCTTTGCCTGGCTGCAAGTAGCTGGTCTCACTGAGGAGCAGCTTCAGGAGCCAATTACAGGATGGAGGAAGTAAGTGGGGGATCAGCCCCCCAGAGACCCTACTTATCTTCCCTGTTGTGTATTCTGCTCCCCTTTTGGGAAGAGGAGGGAGGGTTCTGAAACTATCCTGCCTAGCCTGGGTAGGTGGGATGAGTCAGCCAGGCTCAGATCTGGTACGCAGGACTCCAGTTCTAAGTAATGTGCCCTGATGAGTCCCAGAGTGGCCAGAAACTTCAGCCCTTGGCCAAGTCCTCTGTGAGGGTAAAAGAGGGGTACCCTACTTTCCCAGTGCCTGAACGTGGGGGGGTGGGCAAGGGTCAGAAGTGCTGCCTCCACTGATACCCAGCCTTGCCCTGGCAGGACTGTGTGCCACAATGGGGTGCTGGGCCTGAGCCGCCTGCTCTTTTTCCTGCTGGGCTTCCTCCGGATTCGTGTTCGCGGCCAGCGGGCCTCTCGCCTTCAAGCCCCTGTCCTTGTTGCTGCCCCCCACTCCACTTTCTTTGACCCCATTGTTCTGCTGCCCTGTGACCTGCCCAAGGTTGTGTCCAGAGCTGAGAACCTTTCCGTGCCTGTCATTGGAGGTGAGAGAGTTCAACAGGGGTGAAGGGGAAGGATGACAACTCTGGGCCAAAAAAGTCAGAAATTGGAGACACTGGAGAGAACTGGCCTCAGGTGGGAAGGGAGAAGTTAGAAGGGGTATTGACTGTTGGCGTGTGAAATGTAAATTAACACCATTTGTCAACCAGTCTCCTAGCCTGTGAGGGCTGGGCATTGAGGAGGTGTTGGAGGTAGCTCTGGTCAGTTTTCTAAAAGGGCAAAGTACTACAGAGGGATTGTCCCCAGGATAAAGAGATAACTGAGAATCAGCTCATACAGTTGGGAAGTGGAGGCTGCAGATGTTAATACCTGGGAGAGGAACCAAGTGACTCCTCCTTGTATCCTTTCCCTACCCCCACCAGCCCTTCTTCGATTCAACCAAGCCATCCTGGTATCCCGGCATGACCCAGCCTCTCGCCGCAGAGTAGTAGAGGAGGTCCGAAGGCGGGCCACCTCAGGTGGCAAGTGGCCCCAGGTGGGTAAGGACCTTGAGACCCTCTCCTTACCTTCTATGTGCTCCTAAAGAGGGTTCCCTTTCCTCTTTCCTCCCCTCCAGCCTTCTGCAACTCATTCTGTTCTGTTCTTTCTTTCCCCAGGTACTATTCTTTCCTGAGGGCACCTGTTCCAACAAGAAGGCTTTGCTTAAGTTCAAACCAGGTGAATAAAGTAATAGTGGGTGGTAGGGTATGGGAAAAACGGTCCCAGGTTTGGGGCAGGGACTCTGGAATAACCTAAGAAGTGGAAGGGTGGGGAGGGCTGGGGGAAAAAGAGGGACAGGGAACTCCCTCACTGATGGGGATAAGTCAAGGAGTCAGAGAGAACATTATCAATGATGGAGCAAAGCCAGATCCCACTTGAGAACTGTCCAGTCCCCTACTCTGATGCCTTCCAGCTACTTCCATGTACTAACCTCTGCCTGGGGGTGGGGGTGGCAATGGGATTTAGGAGCCTTCATCGCAGGGGTGCCTGTGCAGCCTGTCCTCATCCGCTACCCCAACAGTCTGGTGAGTCTTAGTCCAAGAAAAGGGGGAAGGGGAAGCATGAATCCACCCTAAATGGAAATAAGTGGAAACCGTTGGTGCTGTGATGGGATGTGCATCTGGGGGTGGGGCCAAAGGCTGGGTCAGGGCCTCTCCTCAAAGATGATTGGCCAGCTCCAAGGAATGGGAAAATGGGAATAAAAGTAATGCTTTTCTGCCCTCGCCTCTGCTTCTCCCACAGGACACCACAAGCTGGGCGTGGAGGGGCCCTGGAGTGTGAGTTCTGGTATTCCTGGGGTGAGGGTGGGGCGCAGGGTCTATCAGACAGTTCCTGGCCCATCTTTCAATCTCCAGAATTGAAACGGTAGATAGCCCTTCTTCTTAATCCAAGACTGAGAGAACTCTAGAGAAGGAGATGCCCTTTTCCCTCTGATTTCTCAATATAAACTGGCAGTTCTTTCAGCTCTTCCACCTAAATCATTCTGGCAGTGATTGTGGCTCCTCGGCACTTACTTCCCTGTATTTCTGATTTTTCTCCCTTGTTGTCCTTTCTTAAGAACCACCACCACCAGGCTTGCCTCTTGCCTTTTCCTTCTGCTACTCAAACCTCTTCTCACCTGCAGTTCCTCCTCTGGCGTGTTGCCACAGCCCTTCTCTCTTTCCTGGCCACCTTTCCGGCTCTTCCCTGGGGTCTCCCAGCTGCATCTGCACCCAGCTGCCTATGGCTAGGAGTCCATTTGTGTGTCAATGGGCAGAACTTTCCCAGTCCCCTCCTGAGGGTGGGAAGAGCCCATAGTTAGAGATTGGTGAGCATGAATGTCTCTCTTCTCCTAGACTCAAAGTCCTCTGGCTCACAGCCTCCCAGCCCTGCAGCATCGTGGATGTGGAGGTAGGACCCCCGTAGGTGGGGTGGGAAAATGGACATCTCAGACCCCCGAAGCCTTGGGAAAGAGGATGGAAGTGGTCACTCCTCACTTTGAGGTCCTGATAGGAATTGTCTGTTTCAGTTCCTCCCTGTTTATCAGCCCAGCCCTGAGGAGAGCAGGGACCCCACCCTCTATGCCAACAATGTCCAGAGAGTCATGGCACAGTGAGTTTTCCACGCAGTATTTCCTGGAGCAGATACCCAGGGCAAAGGAACCACAGGAGGGTGTGGGAAGGGCAAGTTTTTGAGGCAAAGATAGGGGAGCGGGCAGTGGGAAGGGCTCCCGGACAGCTGAGACTGAGGAGGGAAAGTTAAAGGGTCCTGATCTTCTCTCCCTGGACAGTAGGCCAGAGTCAGTAATGAGCCCTCAGAAGTTACTTCTGCTTCCTTCCCCCTCCCTTCCATCCCTCTTCATCCTGTAGGGCCCTGGGCATTCCCGCCACGGAATGTGAGTTCGTAGGGAGCTTGCCTGTGATTGTGGTGGGTCGGCTGAAGGTGGCGTTGGAGCCACAGCTCTGGGAACTGGGGAAGGTGCTTCGGAAGGCCGGGTAAGTGGCTTTGAAGATGAGGGTACGAGCAGTGTCACAGAGTGAAAGGATGAATGAGAAGAAAGGGAAGACATGGGAAAGAGCAAGGAAAATCTTTTTTAAAAAAGAAAAAAAGATGGAAAAACAGAGGAGCTTTAAAAAAAGATAATGGAGTACTAAAAGAAAGGGAACAAAGAAATGGAAGGATATGTAATAACTCAGGTGAAAAAAGTAAGAAGGGTTCTCAAGGGACTATGAGTCAGTACATCTTAGAAAAACAGCAGCTGAACCTGTGCTGGGTGAATTCTTAGTACTGGGGCCAAGGTCCTGCTGGGTGGTATGTGCACAAGGAAACTGAGACAGCTCTCTGCCTTCAACAATTCCATTGTAGGCTGTCCCCTGGCTGTGTGGATGCTGGGGCAGAGCCAGGCCGGAGTCGAATGATCAGCCAGGAAGAGTTTGCCAGGCAGCTACAGCTCTCTGATCCTCAGACGGTG